TGAATCTGGCTTGAAATTCTGGCAGTTCCCTGTTAGTATTATAGCCATTTAAAAAATTAATTTCAGAAAAAATTTGCTTGTAGGTGATATTAATGCTAATGTGTGATAGTTTCCACATTCTGTTGAATCACCTCTCTTTAGATTGGGTACAAATATGGAGTTCTTCTAGCATAGATGAATGAGCACTTCAGCATTACATTGTTTGTGGCAACATCTCAACTAATATTCCATCAATTCTTGAAAACTTGTTTTTTGCCAGTACCTTCAGTGAAGCTTGGACTTCTTCCTTCAATATCATTAGTTCTTGATTAAATGTCACCGACACACATGGAAGCAGCAGTCAAGAAATCAAACAACCTATGCTCTGGTAGTGTAGTGGTTATGAATCGGGCTGTGAACTGTAAGGTCAGCAGTTCAAAACTACCAGCTGCTCCACAGGAGAAAGATGAGGCTTTCTGCTCCCTTAAAGATTTACAGCCTTGGAAACCCTGTTCAGGGTCGCTATGGGTTGGAACCGACTCAATGGCACATAACAACAACAACATGCCATTAGGCAGTTATACAGCATGAGACCTCTTTAAAGTGTTCAAGGACAAATAATTCTGTTTAAGGACTAATGTACATCTGCCCCAAGCCATGGTATTTTTAATAGCTTCATATGCATGTGATAGTTGAACAATAAATAAGGAAGACCACAGAAAAAAATTGATGCATTTGAGCTATGGTGCTGGAGAAACATATTAAAAGTATCATGATCTGCTAAAAGAACTAACATATCTGTGTTGGAAGCAGTATAGCCAGAATGCACCTTTGAAACCAGGATGGCAACATTTTGTCTTTCATACTTTGGACATATTATTAGGAAGGACAAATCACTGGAGAAGTACATCATGCTTGGTAAATTAGAGGGTCAGCAAAAAAGAGAAAGACTCCCAATGAGATAGATTGTCACAATAGCAGCAGCAATGGGTTCAAGTGCAACAACAATTGTTAGAATGGCACACGACCGGAAAATATTTTGTTCTGTTATGCAGAATTGACTCAATGGCACCTTGTTGTTGTTGTTGTTGTTGTTAGGTGCCACCGATCCAGCACCAACTCACAGTGACCCTATGAACAACAGAGTGAAATACTGCTCAGTCTTGGGCAAACCTCACAATCATTGCTACACTTGAGCCTATTGATGGTGCCACTGTGCCAATCCATCTTGCTGTGGGTTTTCTTTTTTTCTCTGACCCTCCACTTAGCAAATATATCCTTCTCCAGTGACCTGTCCCTCCTGACAATATGTCTGAAGTCTGGTCATCCTGGCTTCCAAGGAGCACTCTGTCTGCACTTCTTCCAACACAGATCTATTTGTTCTTTGGCAGTCCATGGTACTGTCGTTTGTCATTCCTAGTATAGTAAACCATGTGATTGTCAAATTCAAATGGCCAATTCCAGTCCATTTCAGCTCACTAATGCCTAGGATATTGATGTTTATATGTTCCATTTCAACGGCACCTAACAACAACAAAATAGTTGAGCAGTGATCAATTCTTTTTGGTACAGCGATTTTATGTACTCATTTTCTTTTCTTTTGAAATTTCCTGTGTCCTTAATAGGTGCAGTGGGTTAAGTATTGGACTGCTAACAGATTTTAAATCACCAACTGCATCACAGGAGACAGATGAGGCTGCCAGTTCTCATAACTATTTACAGTTTCAGATATCCTCTAGAATAGTTTTACTCTGTTCTAAAGTTGTTGAGAAGTGCTGTTGAGTCAGTTCCGACTGATAATAACTCTATTTAGGGTTTCTAAGGCTTTAAATCTTTGTGGGAGCAGAAATCCTCAACTTTCTCCCGTGGAACAGCAGGAGAGCTTGAACCACAGATCATATTTTTTCAGTCCAGTGCTTATAGTATGCAGTGAAATCATAATCTATGGATTTGAGGGTTTTTTGGTGGTATCCTTTGGTGTTCAAGCCTTGAATATTTTTCTTCAGTTCTTTCAACTTGAAAAATGTCAAGTGTGTTCTTCCCTTTTGGTTTTGTAACTACTGCTCTTCACAGATTCCATTTGAAATCTTCTGTTCAACTCTTTCACATCAACGTTTCTCTCATTCATTTTACTCTTTTATGTTCAGGAGCAAATTTCAAAACCTCTTTTTGCTCCCTTTGTTTAAATTTCTTTCTTTCCTACCTTTTTAATGCCTTGCTGTTTTCCCCATGTCTGATGCCCTTGATGTCATCCCACAACTCATCTGGCCTTTGTACATTAGTGTTCAGTGTATCAAATCTATTCTTGAGACAGTCTCTAAATTCCGGTGGAATAACCTCAAGGTCAAATATATTTGGCTCTTGTGGACTTGTTCTAATTTTCTTCAGCTTCAGCCTGAAATTACACAAGAGCAATTGATGGTCTATTCCACAGTTAGCCTCTACCCTTTTTATGAAGGATGATATTGAGCTTCTCCATTGTTTCCACAGATGTAGTCAATTTGATTCCATCCAATAAGGTCTAATGCATTGTTGCTGTTTATGTTGTTGAAAAGATATATTTGCAAAAGACATGTAACTGGTCTGAAAAAACAATGTCATGAGATCTCTGCCATCAGTTCTACCACCAAGGCCACATTTTCCAAATTCTGATCCTTCTTTTTCTTCAATTTTTGGATTACAGTCATCAGTAATTATCAATGCTTTTTAATTTCATATTTAGTCAATTTCAAACTGCAGAATTTGGTAAAAACTTTCCATTTCTTCATCTTTGATATTAGTGGATGGTGCATACATTTGGATAATCATTGTATTAACTGGTCTATTTGTGGGCATATAGATATTATCCTGTCACTGACAGTGGTGTTCTTCAGGAGAGATATGCAATATCTTTTTAAACAGTATATGTGATGCCATTCCTTTTCAATTTATTATTCTTGGCATAGTAGACCATATAATTGTCTTATTTAAAATGACCAATACCAATCCACTACAGTTCACTAACTTTAGGACTAATTAATTTCAAGAGTTCCATTTCATTTTTTACATCAAGTTTTTCTAGATTCATACTACATATATTCCATATTCTAGTTACTAATAGATATTTGCAGATGCTTTTTTTTTTAGTCATGCCATATCAGCAAATGAAGGTCCCAAAAGCTTTACTGTATCCATTTAATTAAAGTCAACTCTCCTGTGAAGAAAGAACTCTTGCCCAGACTATTTTGAGTGCCTTCCAACTTGAGAAGTTCATCTTCTGGTACTGTATCACACAATGTTCCACTGCTATTCATAAAGACTTCACTGACCAATGTTTTATAAGTAGATTGCCAGATGCTTCTTCTTAGTCTGTTTTAGTCTCCTAAACTCTGCTGAAACTCTTACTTGCATTTGAAATACTGCTGGCATAGCTTCTAGCATAAAAAAAAAGCAACACAAGTTATCACAGTTCAGCAAACTGACAGATCACTGGTGAGGGGCAGAAACAGAGATTTACAAAAAATGGACAAGGATAAATCAAAGATCAGGAAAGATTAGAACAAAAAGAAGAAAGGATAAATAAAGGAAGTAGAATAAAATGAGATAGAAGACACTCCCTTTCTTGAACTTGTATGCTTCTATAGACCACAATACCAATGCTCATCTTACTTTATTTCAATCATTTATATCTTAACCATGGTATGAAATCACTAATAGACAGGAAAAATGTAATTAAGGAAAAAGAATTTCTTATTTATGCTCATTCCTACATTATTATAAACTCGTATCACATAATGGATAAAATGAGGAAGAAACATATGCCTAAGTAGAAAATAAACATTTCCCTTAAAACCATAGTACATCAATTAGGACTCATTGCAACCTAGGGCCACATAGAACCGACTCATAGTGTTTTTGAGGTTATAATTTTTACAGAAGCAACTGCCACATCTTTATCCTGCTGGTAGGAACCACTAACCTTTAGGTTAGCAGCATAACAACTGAGCGAAGTCTCCTTCTATGTTCCTCACAGTAGCCAATATTTCGAGCCTGGAGCTGAGGCATTATATGGAGGCTTTTCTACACCCTTTCCTTAAAGTGACATAGCATAGTCAAAGGAGGCAGCTACAGTAATTGCCCTTTGTAAGCCTTGTATAACTCCACAGATGCATGGTCTTGAGGCTAAAAGGTATATTGATCAAGTGTGTACGACTTACACAATTACAGTTCAGGGAGAACTAGAATAAGGAGCTCTGGTAGCGTAGTGGTTATGAATCGGGCTTTGAACCCTAAGGTCAGTGGTTCAAAAACTACCAGCCGCTCTGTGGGAGAAAGATGAGGCTTTCTACCCCCGTAAAGATTTACACCCTCGGAAACCCTGTACAGGGTCGCTATGGGTCGGAACCGACTCAACGGCACTTAACAACAACAAACAGTATTGAAATATTATTTGAACATTGACCTGAGACCATATCTAAGTTGTTTAACAACAAAAAATGTAGTCTCAAGATTTCTTTTGACAGTCAACCCTTAGTTATCCAAAGCAATAATAGCAACATATAATGTGAATTTCTCAGGGATGTAAGCCCCAATAAGGCAAAAATTGTTACATTCATCTCTGTTTATCTGAAGGTTAAACCCTGTACAAGCTACTTGTTCCTTAAATGTGTGCTGATTAAATACCCCCAATATTTATAAAGACATCAGTTATGCAGCCTGAAAAAATATCTACATGTTTTAATACAGGAAAAGGACTTCCAATAATATATAAGGCATTTACACCACATTTTATTTAAGAAAGTATATATTTGAGTATGTTGCTGTTGTTCTTAAGTGCCATCAAGTTGGTTCTGAATGATCGTGACCCTATATAGGATTTCCAAGAAGTGGCTGGTGGGTTTGAACCATTGACATTGCAAATCAAAACGACTTTGCACTCCAGTGCATTAACACACAGAGCAACACCAGGACTCCATATTTGAGTATAGTCACATAGAATTCCATGCCGGTGTTAATATCAAAGAACACTGATACATACTTACCCATTATATGATTCCGACACACCAGCAAAGGGTCCATTTTCACATTTGGCATAAACAAACACAAAACTCAGGACAAGTGCAACTGCAGATGTGCACAATGAAAACTTCATTGCATTTTTACATGCCAATTTGAACTTCGAAACGAAGACACCACCTAAGATCTGACCAAGAGCAGCTCCAGGAATTAAAACAGCTCCTAATGAGAAAGAAGACAAACTGTGGGAAAACACATACATATACTCAGAAAGTTATACTAGTAAATGAAAAGCCTCAGATTTGAGCATATTAAAGTGTGTACATAACTTAGTAATAGGTGCATCAATAGCTTAGTAGTTTCATAAAGTAAAGGATTAAAACAATCTTTTGCAATATAATCTTTCTTACTTTTTAAGTTCATATATATTGTGGAATATCAACAAATCAGGAAACCTCTTTAAAATCAATATAAAAGTTAAATTTCGGAAAGTGAGCAACTGAACATGAAAGACCATCCAATAAACATCTTATCTGATAAAGTAAAATTATCAAAGTTAGAAAAAATAAAATGCTTTACCTCCAAGGGTAGCTGCAAAGCTAGATGACACTCCAAATTGGTTTTCTATAAATTTGGGTAAAAATGTAGCAAATCCAGTAGTAACTAAGGCTTCTGAAGTAGTTGATAAAACTAAACACATAAACACAGTATTCCTCATCAGATTCTAAAGAAAAAAATACAGTTCATCAAATGAAAAACTATTGTTTATATTTCAAAATGCAACATTAGGATTATAACATTATGAAATCTGTACAAAAATATACTAACAGATTATTATCAGATTTCTAAATGCAACACTTAGAGAATTTATACATTATTGCTCATTTGTAGTAGGATGACTATAAATTTATGGTATGCAAGAGAAAAAAGAAGAGGGAAAGGCCTAAGAGTAATTACCAATATGATTTGAGCATATTAAAGTGTGTACACTTTTCACTTCCCACTTTTATTTTAAATTACTATGTTCTGGAGCCTGGTAGTGCAGTGGATGCTGAGCTGGGCTGTCAACCGCAAGGTTAGCTGTTCGAATCTACCAGTTACCCCTCAGTAGAAAGATAAGGATTTCTGCTCCTGTAAAGATTTACAGCCTCGAAAATCTTTTACTAGGGGTTACTATGAGTCAAAACTGACTTGCTGACATAGCCACTACCACCACCACACTATGCTACTTCCTATTTAAATTTTATTGTTGCTATTTGAATTCCGATGTCCAGTGAATAAAGAGCCTTACTATATGAGAATGCTTTCTAAGTACTTAACTCAGTAATTAAGTACTTTCAGTAGTCAAAGTTACAGTGAAACTCCTTGTTAAGTGCCTTTAAGCCAGTTATGACTCACAGTCATAAATGACAGAAATCCCTTGTATCGGGTTTCCAAGCATTGGCTGGTGAGTTTACCATTTTTCCTAGGACTTACAAGTTTTCCACCTTTGATAGGGTGCAGCCACACTTTTCTATCACTGTCTATTTAGTGGAAAATACTTGAGTTTTCTGTCTCTGGAAGGTTTCCACGTTACACAGGTTATGGTTTTTGTAAATTTTACTTTATATGGTTGTTGTTGTTGTTGTGAAGTGCCATAGAGTCTGTTCCAACCCATAGCAAGCCTGTGTAGAGTTTCTGAGGAGCAGCTAGTGAGCTTGAACTGCCAACCTTGCAGTTCAAATGGCTTTTCAGTCTGGCGCATTAACCCACAGTGCCACCCCAGGATTCCTTATATTGTTAAGTAATTTAAATAAGTGTCTATAATGGTGGACGTTCGGAATCTTATTAACCTATCAGAAGGAAGTATAGCAATGCATTGCACCCTGGTGGCTCAGTGGTTAAATGCTCAGCTGCTAACAGAAAAGTCAGTGATTAAAAGATTCCAGACATTCTGAGGGGAAAAGATGTGGCAATCTGCATCCATAAAGATTTATAGCCTAGAAAACCCTCAGGGAAGTTCTACTCTGTCCTATAAATTCACTATTAGTCAGAACAGACTCAACGGCTACGAGTTTGGATTCTTTTAAACTGGAGAATGAAAAACAATATAATAGTTCTGCAATATTAAAAGTAATAAATAAAAAAAATCATAAAACAGGCAAAGCACCACTTCTTTCATATTGGCTTGGCATTCTCAAATACATATTTATGATGTGGTGCTGTGTGGCACTGTAGGACAAGTACTTGACCTCAAGGTCAGTTTGAACCACAAGGTTGGTGGTTCAAACTCACAAGTCACTCCTCAGAAAACTTAAACAGGGTTGCTGAGTCAGAACTGACTCAATGGCACTTAACAACAACAACAATAATAATCAATCAGTTGATTACACAAGTAAAATGGACTAGAATAATGGGCTATAGTGTTACTGAAGAACCACTGAATATTAATGTTGCCAATAAGATATCTCATGCTCTTTCAACCATTCTCCATCCAAATAATTTCCATTTCTCAAGTTGTTGTTGTTGTTAGGTGCTATCAAGTCGTGGAATAATAAAATTAAGTTTAAAGGTTTGTTTATAAGAAAACTATAGAAAAACAGGAAACAAATATATTATGAAAAGATTTATGATTGCAAACAGTTTTATTTTACCTTTAAGGCAGCTGGAAAATCTTTCAAGCTCTTCCCAAAATTCTCATCTACTTGTTGTATGGAATTGCTTTTATTCTGATGAGCCTGGGAAATTTTCCCAGCTTGAATTTTGGCTGTACCTAAAAAATATTAAATGGAATTAATATATCACTTTATTCTTAATTTTTAAATGTTTACTTTGGCTGACTAGACAGATGAATTACATGGGCCCTTTACAACAAAGATATGAGAGACAAAATAAAACAGACACAAATGAAAATTCTAGCACCCTGAACATCAGAAGAAAGATTAGAGAGGTGGCCAGAGTGCTTGCTGGGAGGAGAAGCCAAGCAGGGATGGCAAGAGTCATAGACTGACCACTGAATATCTGTCCAGACTTTGCTCCACCATCTTGTGTGCAGCTTTGGTAATGCAGGGAGACCTGGCAGAGCAGATTCAAGTGGGTGATGGAAAAGGTGCAATTTCTTCTTTTTCCCTACGTTTCTTTGGTGACCAGAAATGTGGCAAGTTCCCATTCTCAGGCACCCCCAATGTGAACCCTGCTCCACTGGTGTTTGAAGCCATGTAGCTGGGAGCCACAACAATGTGTGATGGGGGTAGCTGTGTCACTTTGGTGCCTGGATTTGGGTGGGGTTGGCTTCAGACCTACAAAACGCACAGATTCGCCAGACCAGCATTTAACCAGTCATGCTTCCCCTAGCTTCCTTGAGCATCTAATAGGTACTGAAATCAGCTCCATCAATGGCCCCCACAAACTGCATCAGGATTGAGTACCCTGAACATAGATAACACCAAGGCTGACAGGAACTCCATCTATGGCCAGGAACTCAGCTGTCACATCCCTTCCACAACTACCTGATAGGCTCCTTGAATTGCCAAAGTCCCCCAGAGATTTTTTTCCTTCTACGACCAACAAATGCACTGTTTGTTTTTACAAATACAACAACCCAACAATACTGCAAAGACAACAGACAACTTTAGCTCACACAAAGAAACAAGAGAAACTGACTCAAACAAATGGCCAAGATGCAGAGCCAGAAAATAAATCTGAGGAATAAAAGGTAATATAATAACTGAAAAAGAATTCAGAACAATGATAATTAAGTACTTGCAAATAATTGAAAAAAAGAGGAAAGCAAGGAGAAGATAATAAAAACATTAGATTAATTCAGGAAAGCACTACAAGAACAAACACACAAAATAAATGAAAATTTTGAAATAATAAAAAAAAAAAAATCCAAAAATAGTTACATGGGACACCATGAAGAGGAATAATTTATGGGTGATCAGAATTCCAGAACAGAAAGAGACAAGCACAGAAAAAATTGTTGGAGTTGTTGAAAGAAAACTTCTCTAACACCAAGAAAATAAGCATACAAGAAGCTGAATGAAGAATAAACCATAATCAGAATACATTCCAAAAGAAAAATCACCAACGCATAGCAGAATCACACTTTACAAAATCAAAGACAAGGAAAAAATTCTGAGAGCAGTTGAAGAAAAACAAAAACGTTACCTATAAAGGAGAATCAATAAGACTAAGCTCTGATTACTCAGCAGAATCCATGCAAGCAAGAAACTATGGAATGACGTATAAAACTCTGAAAGAAAATGATTGCCAATCAATAATCAAATATCCAGCAAAGTTATCCTTCAAATACAACCGTGAAATTAAAGCATTTCCTGATGAAGAAAAATTAAAGGGATTTGTAATGACCAGGCCAATTTTACAAAAAAAGCTAAATGGTGCTCTTTGAGCCAATAACAGGAGACAACAACCTGAGCTTACCATAATGAAAACACCACTCAAAAGCAATCCAGATGTAGAAGTATGTAAAGTAAAACAAACATACACGATTGAAAAAATGGAGCCAGAGATATTAATGTATAATGAAAAAAGCAATATACAAAGCAAAGAAGAGGGAATAGTATAGATACAGAACTTTCAAATGTTAAAAAAGTCAAGCAGATTTTAAGATAAAATAGACTGTTTCAAGCAGGGATAAAAAATAATAAATTACTAAGTAATCTCAAAGAAAAATAATACACCTGTACATCCAAATTTCCACAACTCCTATGTCAGATTGTCATACTATGGTGGCTTGCATGCTGCTGTAATTCTGGAAGCTATGCCACTGGTATTTTAAATACCATCAGGGTCAACCATGATGGACAAGTTACAGAGGAAGGGAGACTAGCAAGAAGAAGCGACAGAATACTGCCAAATATTTAGGCACAGAAAACCTGTCCAATAGCACCAGAATATTGGCTAATGAAACATGATGAAGAGTACAAGAATATTTTCAGATATAGTATCAGAAGATGAATCCGTCAGGGTGGAAGACACTCAAAATACGATTGGGTAAGTGCTGTCTCCTCAAAGAAGAATAGACCATGATGACATAAACACAGAAAAGCTTTGAGGACCTTCATTTGCTGATGGGTCACAACTTAAAAATGAAGAGAGATAAATGTCAACATCCATTAATAGTCAGAAAATGAAATGAATGAAGTATGAAACTAGGAAACTTGGGAATTGTCAAAATGAAACAGAACACAATAAACGTCGATGTCCTAGGTATTAGTGAGCTGACTAGCAATGGTCATTTTTAATCTGACAATTACATGGTTTATTATGCTGGAAATTAAAACTTGAAGAGGAATGGCATCACATTCATCATAAAAAAGAACATATCAAGATCTGTCTTGAAGCACAACACTGTTTGTGATAGGATAATATTCATATGTCTACAAGGAAGACTAGTTAATACCACTGTTATTCAAATTTACACACCAACCACTGAAGTCAGTGATGATGAAATTGAAGAATTCTACCAACTTCTGAAGTCTGAAATTGATGAAACATGCAATCAAAATACACTGATAATTAATGTTGAATGGAATTCAAAGTTTGGAAACAAAAAGGAAGGATCAGTAGTTGAAAAACATGGCCATAATGATAATAATGATGGAAATCACATGAGAATTTTGCAAGATCAATGACTTCTTCATTGCAAATAAACTTGTTTAAACAAAACAAAAGATGACTATACACATGGAACTCACCAGATGGAATACACAGAAATCAAATTAACTACATCTGTGTAAAAGATGATGCAAAAGCTCCATATTGTTAGCTAAAACGAGGCCAGGGGCAGACTGTGGAGCAGATCATCTATTGTTCATATGTAAATTCAGGCTGGAGTGGAAGAAAATTAAAACAAGTCTACAAGAGAAAAAATATGACCTTGAACATACCCCACTTGAATTTAGTGCATTAGACACTAAAGACTGAAGACCAGAAGAATCATGGGGTGACATCAAGAACATCATGCAGGAGGAAAACAAAAAGGTCATTAAGAAGACAAGAAAGATGGTAAAGACCAAAATGGATGTCAGATGAGACTCTGAAACTTGTTTTCCAGGTTAGAGATGCTAAAGCAAATGGAAGAAATGAGGAGGTAAAAGAGCTAAATAATAAATTTCGAAGGTCAGCTTATAAAGAACTGGAGTTAGAAAACCAAAAGGGAAGAACACGCTCAGTGTTTCTCAAATAGAGGGAACTGAAGAAAAAATTCAAATTTTGACTTGCAATATTGAAGATTTCTATAGGCAAAATGTTGAACGATGCAGAAAGCATCAAAAGAACATGGACGGAATACACAGAGTCACTGTACATAAAAGAAATAGTCAGTGTTGGTCATTTCAAGAGGTAGCATATGGTCAAGAGCCAATGGTACTGAAGTACCATTTCATCATCAAGGAAGAAATTCACAGTGAATTGAAGGTGTTAGGAAAGAACAAGACTCCCAGAATTGATGGATTACTAATTGAAATCTTCAAACAAGCTGTCGTCTATTTGGTTCTGATTCATATCAACCCTGTATAGTGTTTATAAAGGTTTCACATATTTCTGGGAGCAGAAAGTCTTATCTTTCTCCTATCAAGTGGCTGGCAGGCTCAACCTGTGGATCACCGTCAAGTGCTTTGCATATGAAACCACCATTTCCATATGAAACCACCAATTGAGGACATCATAACTGGTCTAAATATTAAAATGTGGAAATTTTGCTGTGACCACATGTTTTCATTTCACTTAAAATTTCTCTTCTTAACAACTGACATACTCAGTTTCTACAATTGATCTGGAAATAAGTCTTAGAAAAAAGTCAGCAGATGGAGTAGACCAAGTAGAAATAAATCAATGAGTCAACCTACTTCTACTGTTTCATCTTTTCTTTTGCCCATCTCTACAGAAAACCATACACTAGATAATAATAATGAAAACACTAAATACTTTCAGCTTGGAGAAATAGTTACAGGTATATATTTGAACTACGCAATTTTATAGTCACAGAAGAATGATAAGGCTTTCTGCTCTAGTGAAGAATTAAAGCATTGAAAAGCCTATGCAGGGTCTCTGTGAGTCAGAACCAACTAGAAAGCACTTAACAACAACAATAACAATAATATTATATAACAAGGTATCAGAGAGAGAAATGGATACTCTTTTCAATCAACCTTTTCTTTAGATGCAAATAGTCTAGTGTGAACATATACATGGTAAATTTTAAAAATGTGAGTCTTTGGAGAATGATTTAGGAGATAATTGAAATAATAATCAGCGTTTTCAACAGTTAACACAAATTGTTTAAGATATATTTGTTATTGAAATTAGTAACTAATATATTAAAAAGTAATAGTTTAAAATATTGTATCTTGTAAACAATTTAACACATTTCTGATAGAAATTTAGAAACTAGTTTGTTAAATATGTACAGTTCTGATGATTATTAATTGAAAGTAAATGAAATCATGAAAATTAACATTGATACATAATTTTTTAAAGTACATAAATACAGAGATTCAAAAGTTTATAAATATAGTCAATCTCTACTTCTAAGGCTTTATGATGATTAAACAATGTAATGTTAATAAAGTGTTTGGACAATACTTAACACTGTATAAATTGAAAGTCTATACAGCTAACAAGCTGAACTTCCTAAAACTAAAACCAAACCAAACCCATTATCATCAGGTCGATTCCAAATCATGGTGACTCTGCATACGGTGTCTGAGACTGTAAATCTTAACGGAGCAGAAAACATCCTTTTTCTCTCACAGAGCAGCTGATGAGTTTGAACTGTCGACCTTGCAGTTAGCAGTCCAGTACTTATGAAGTTCTTGCAAATTAGAAAGAAGGCAACATCTGTCTAGAGTTGGAGTAAAACTCTAGTTTTAAATAAACAATTTTTACCTGGTAAATGTTTTGGGAAGCAGGAAAAAGGTATTATCAAAGACCAAGCAAAAACCCAAGCCAAAAGAAATCCTATCCACCAAGCTCCCAGCCAGCGTGGATCATTCTCAGTGATACCAGTCCTGTATGAATAGGAGGAAAAAAGAAGTTAACATCAACACTACCTTGTATATTAAAACTCAGTTATAGTAATTCTGTATTTATTTTAAGAGCATATAGTGGAATTTCAATTGGACCCACTGTAATAAATGAGACAAGGAGCTCTGGTAGCATAGTGGTTATGAATAGGGCTGTGAACCTCAAGGTTAGCAGTTCAAAACTACCAGCTTTTCTGCAGGAGAAAGATGAGGCTTTCTGCTCCCGTAAAGATTTACAGCCTCAGAAACCCTGTACAGGGTCGCTATGAGTTTGAACCGACTCCACAGCACATAATCACCACCATCAATAAATGAGACAACAGGTTATTGTTGTTGCTATTAAGTACCACTGAGTAGGTTTTATCTCATGGCAACTCTTTATAGGTTTTCCTAGATGTGGCTGGTGGGTTTGAACAACTGACCTGTTAGAAGTCCAGTGTTTATTCTACAGTACCACACTAGGACTCCAGAGAGCAGGTAGCAGACATACATGAAAGTGATAAAACCAATGGTTCACAAAGTATTTTTTAAATGGTATTTATGACATAAAACCTTTATTTGGTAGCAAATATGTTGAAGGAACGTGATGCTTGGAGGCTAAGAACTGAACTGCAAATCACAAAAGTGGCAGTTCGAGCCTACCAATCACTCTGATGTTTTCTGCTTCTGCAAAGATTTACACCCTTGAAAACCCTACACTGGGTTGCTATAAGTTGGAACTGACTCTACAACACTTTAAGAACAACAAATACATAAGTTGGATATTTGAAAACATACTTTTTATCTGACTTTGGCTAAGTACTATTTCTTTTCTCTTGATTAAATTATTAAACATATGTTATCAATAAATAATTGATATATATTCAAAGTCCATATACCTTCTTTAATTATATGATTTTTTTAAATGCAAAATTCTTCTTAACGCTACACAATTTTTAATATCTTTGTATCAATAGGACATTTTTAAGAAACACACCTTCACTACAAGTTATCAAATTTCTCTACTGAAATAAAAATGTACTTTCTTTAAACCTAGCTTTCTGCTTCAAAGACTTCTTAATACTTTTCTATGTAGTTTCTGTGTCATTAGGGTCAGAATGAAATAACCCCAAACATTCAGATATTGCTTTAGTCCTCGAATCCAGCTATCCACCCAGCTCTTTCTGTCTGTCCATAGCTACCCAAAGCTGGGTCAGAGTTCATAGTTAAAAGGTCAACATCTGCAGACTGTCAAATAGGCAGATGCCAACTGCAACTTTTGGGAATCCACATGACACCCCAACCTTCTGGTCTACTGGTTACAAACTCAGGGTTCATTTTCTACTATCACTGAAAAGTGTCGGTTACAAGCAGTCCATACAACACCCTTACTTTTTGACCTACTGGCTCTCACTACTCCTTTTTGAATTATTTGGAACAACTCAGAAAATATATGGAGTTTATACCATAGTTACAAGTACTGATTTATTATATTTAGACAAAAAAGATACAAACAAAAAGCTACATAGGAGAAGATCTGGGATGGTTCCCAGTATGGAGCTTCCATGTCCCAAGGGACACACTGCCCTCCTGAGAGCAGATGTTCTTATCAACCAGAAAATGGAGACTCTATGTTCAAGGTTTTTGTCATCTAATACTGCATGATAGGCAGTGATTTCTCTGAAACCAAAGACAAAGTTCACCTTACTTAGGGTAAAGGTAGGACATTTACCCCGAAGTCCCCAAAAGATTAACCTAAGATTAACAGTTCAGTGAACAAATCACATAACCATACCGCATGTCCTCAATCATTGCTTATACAAAGTACTAAAAAGTTATAATTCCTAACAATAAAATGAGAAAATGTGGCCTCACCGAAGGTTACTAATATCTCTATTCAGGGAAAGGAGAAGGTAACATAGTGGTTGAAAGGAGAACTTTGAAGGCAAAAGTATATTCTTTTATTCATGTCCCAGATATGTATTATCTGTGTGTATTATCTATCACAAAAAAGGCTCAGATGATTAAGTAAGATTGTTGTTGTTGTTGTTGTTGTTGTGTGCTGTCAAGTTGATCTCAACTCATAGTGATTCTTCATAGTGTTTCCAAGACTTTAAAACATTGCAAGGGCAGAAAACCTCATCTTTTTCCCATGGAGTGTCTGGTGAGCATGAACCACGGATCTTGTGGCTCACAGTCCAGTAACTGTCATATGGAGCCACTGCCCTCATAAGATAATGGATGTTAAGTAAAATAAAACAGAGTACACACAATGTCTGGCATATTACATGGGATCAATAAATACTGTTGTAATTAAATGTCCTCTAGTCATTTCTGCTGAAAATGAAGAGAACTTGAAATACTTATGGATGAAGATCAAAGACCACATCCTTCAGTATGGTTTTGCACTTCAATGTAAAGAAAACAAAAATCCTCACCACAGTACCAACAAATATCATCAGGATAAATGGTAAAAAGATTGAAGCTGTCAGAGACTTCATTTTGCTCAGATCAATCATCAACAATCATGGAGGCAGCAGTCAATCAATCAAATAACGTATTGCATGAGGAAAATCTGCTGCACAAGATCTCTTCAGTGTTCAAGTGCAAAAATGTCAGTTTGAAGACAAAGGTGCGCCTGACCCAAGTGATGGTATTTTCAATAATCTCATGTGCATATCTGGAAATGTTTCAGGAGGGACTAGTCGCTGGAGAAGGATGTCATGTTTGGTAGAGTGCAGGGTCATAAAAAAAGAGGAAGACCCCCAGGGAGATGGATTGGCAAAGTGGCAGCATCAATAGGCTCAAGCGTGGCAATAGTTGTGAGTTTATCCCAGGATCAGGCAGTGTTTCGTTCTGTTGTGCATAAGATCACTACGAGTCAGTGCTAACTTGATGGACCAAACATATGCATGGGAAAGTTGGACAATGAATACAGAAGACCATAGAAGAATCAGTGTATTTGAGTGATGGTGTTGGAGATGAATATTAAAAGTACTGTGGATGGCAAAAAAAAAAAAAAAATCTTTGTTGGAAGAACTATAATAGAATGTTCCTTAAAAGTCAGGAGGGCCAGATTATGTTTCACGTATTTTGGACATATCAGGAGGGACCTGTCCCTGGAGAAGGACATCAAGCTTGGTAAAGCGAAGGATCAGCAAAAAAGAGGAAGACCCCCAAGGAGATAGACTGGCACAGTGGCAGCAGCAATGGGCTCAAATGGAGCAACAATTGTGAGGTTGACTCAAGACCAGGCAGTGTTTTGTTCTGTTGTTTATAAGGTTGTTATGAGTCAGTACGAACTCAATGTCACCTAACAACAACAGTTGGTTCTGACTCATAGCAACCCTGTGTAGGGTTTCTTAGGAGTGACTTGTGGGTTTGAACTTTTGAAACTTGGTTAAACAACCCAATGTTTATATTACAGCACCACATTGGCACTTCTGGCATCAACAAATATTTGTTGTTGTTGTTCCGACTCATAACTATGTATAACTGAACAAAACACTCCTTTGTCGTGCACCTTTTTCACAATTGTTATGTATGAGCATACTTTTGCTGCCACAGTGTCAATCCATCTTGTTGGGGCTCTTACTCTTTTTTCTGAACCTCCAGTTTTCCAAGCATGATGTCCTTTTCCAAGAACTGGTTCCTCTTGATAATATGCCAAAAGTATGAGAGATGAAATACCCCCTTCCTCGCTTCTAAGGAGCATTCTGGCTGTGCTTCTTCTAAGATTTGTTTGTTCTTCTGGCAGTCCTTGTACTTTTAATATTCTTCACCAACACTACAATTCAAATGCATCAATTTTTCTACATTCTTCCTTATTCAATGTCCAACTTTCACATCCTTATGAGGCAACTGAAGATATCATGAGTCAGGGGCAACTTAGCCCTAAAAGTGACATATTTGCTCTTTACTACTTTAAAGAGGTTTTTTGCAGCAGGTTTTCCTTAGTGCAATACATCATTTGATTTCTTGATGATTGATTTCATGAGACGTGATTGTGGATCCAAGCAAAATGAAGTCTCTGACAACTCCAATATTTTCCCTATTTATTGGTCCAATTGTGAGGATTTTCTTTTTTTACAGTGAGGTGCAATCCATTCAAAAGTTTATTTTCTTTGATCTTTCTTAATCAGTATTTCAAGTCTTCTTTACTTTTTGGTATCTGCATATCACAGATGGAAATAGAGTACAATATATAAGTAATTGTTGCTGTTAAGTACCTTCAAGTCAGTTCTGACTCAAAATGACCCTGTATGAG